GTTTTGAATATCATAATATAAACTATTTTTTAGTTACATTCAGCAAATTTTTTTTTGCTTCATCTCAATTTCTGTATTCGCGGACGGTTCATCAAAGACTATCTAAATTGAACCGGGATCAGTTTATTAACTTTTATATATTAGATGACAAGTTACGTTGAACAAGGAGACGAATTCGAGAAAACTGTTAAAAATATTTTGAAAGATATAAAGTATCCTACTGGAAGATGCATATTATTATGTATCTGAAGTTACGCTGCAGATCGGGGAATTGAAAGCGCGCCGTGGTCGCAGTTTGTGAAAGTCGCCAGTCAGGTAGGCGTGAACCTGGTGACGGGGTATTGATTTATTCGGGGGTTTTAGGAGACGTACGATAATAGGACAGTGTAAGGTAAAACATTAATTTTATTATGTCGTATTATTCCATTATTGTTAATTTATTCGTGTATATATTGTATATCTAGGGCGGTTTGAGGATTAGGGTAAATGATGTAGAAAGATTTGAAGGAGCTTTATCAAGATACGGTGAAAGATCTACTATAGCTCGATCCGAAAATAGAGCTATTTGGAGGAGAGGAAAGGATACATTTACTGATCCCGCAATAGCTAGAGCGAGCGACTTTGGCTGTGTGGCGGGGCCGTAGCCACTCCACTCCAAAGTGGAGTGGCCCAGTTGCACCTCCTTATTGTGCGTCGTCGCGCGGTAAGAGCTTCTATTTGGGCTGATAATAAATGAACCTTCACCGGTACTGAACCCGCTCTACCTCATGGCATGTGGTTGAGCGGTAAGAGTAGGAATAGTAGGGCGAGCGTCCGAATATAACATAATCTTAATATGACTTGTGTATTCGGTGTATTAAACGGTATAATCGTAATGCGGGTCTGCAACGATCTTTAACCAATGTCACTCGAACTTTTTATGTGAATATAAGTATTCGAAGATATTGCTCTTTATTAACCATACACTGTGATACAGATAAACCCACCATGCCTGTTATTTCTCTTTACCACCATCTATAATGCTTCCCCCACATACATCATTCTCCATATTACCGGGCGAGGATTCGTCCGAAAGCGTGTCATACATGCCATTTTCCAATATTCTTCACCGAATTGGCGGGGCCGTAGCCACTCCATTCCTACTTCATCATTTCAATGCGAATAAAACAAAAATTACAGCTTGTGCATTGAGGGCTAGCTTCTTTGCATCAGAGAGCATTTGCAGATTGCCTGCAGTCAACAGCTGCCTCTATTGCTGCACATATGCTTTTTTTGGCGGCTGTCGCTGTATTTATCGGCGCCGGGCTTTCATCTGAAAGCGTATAACTCAACAAGATATTCAGTGAAAAACTCACGGAGTTCAACCCCCAACCTTCTCATATGCTTAATCGACGAATAGAATCCAGCTCCGACATAGACGTCAAGAACGACACGGATGAAACCCCGGCATGATCAGTTTCGTGCAATTCATCTGAAAGCGTGTGATACACGCAATTTTCCAGCCTGCTCCTCTTCCTTATTGAGATATTGTATCCCGACTGCGCCCATGCTTCCAATCGCATAGCCAGTCGCGTTCATGAAAAAAGATATTGCAGTAGTTTGAAATTGCAAAGGACTCGGTTGCCACTCCAAAAAACTGAAAACTTCCATTTCGGCAGAACGGTCTCAAATCCCAACTTTTCGGTACCGATTAAACTCGGTTTTTCGTGGCGGCAAAGCCAAATTGGCTGCTGTGGCTGTGCGGTCCAGTAGAATACGCTCTTTTCCAAACGATAACCGGCCAACTATGGGATATTATCTCTCTTCTTGGAGAGTGGAACGGCGAAGCCAAAGTCTATCAGCCGCAAGGAAAATCTTATTGTATTCTTCTTCAAATTGTTACAGAAGACGTATCACCGAATTGGCGGGGAGGCGTAGCTACTCTACTTTGAGTGGAGTGCGCCGGGGCTTTCATCTGACAAAGTATAATACGTGTCGTATATCTTCTATTACCGATTTGGCGCCGCAGAATTCCATCCGAAAGCGTGTAGTACACGTCATATCCAGTTTCTCTGTTGGTGTGTACACGTTATTGTCGTTTTCTTCCGAGAGGGCATATCTCGCTGTCGACTTTTTCTTCCGAGAGGATATAATAAATGCCGTTGCCGACGTCTTCTTCAAAATTCCCAAGCGCCTCGGATTCTCGTCCAAGTTCACCATTCTATATAATGTCCGGCCTGAGCTTGTGCTAGTCGCTCGAGAGTACTTCGTGACAAGCCTCAAATCCAAACCGAGTTTACTCTTGCACATGAAATCCTTCAACGAAAACTCATAGGTAAAAGAGTTCACGTTGTACACACATTGTGCTGAAAAAAAAAAAAGACATGATGGATTTCTTTTATCCTTTTTGCACAACCCTCATATGCAAGATGCCAATCACTTGTTAATTTATACCGGATTCCAAACTTGCACCACATTTTTTAAAGTCTCATCATTCTAATGTCGACAACAATAGCCCTCTCTTCAACAGCAAAACGAGATTTGATTCTGATAGCCTCAATATTAATCCGCTTTTTATTGTTCCAATTCGACAACGTTACTGAGATTCTTGGTAACAGAGTTGAAATAGTCACTCCTGTTACTAGTTTTCGAAGGCGTAAGTAGAGAGCATTGACTGAGGTCGTGAGCTTTTTTAATAGAATGCCGATGATTCACCAAGAGATGATAATATTTTTAGTTACCGAGGGGATATATTTGTTCCAGAATGGTGTTCCCCCATACGATGGAGGCATTTTCCATCAGGTATCAGAAACGATATATATCATACTTGGTTAATTCTCGCATTTTTTGGCTAATCTGCTAACCCCGATTTAAATTTCACAATTTTCACTTCACCAGCCACCGCTTCTCCTTCCCATCTTTGCATACATTCCTACGATCCTCACACCAATACTCTATACATGCCTTGATCTCGTATTTGCATATCTAATACAAGAGATAACACGGATAAAACAACAGCTATACAAGGATCGCCCACGCAGTGATGGAGATGGGGGTGAAATTGAGCCATGGGTCGTTGCTGGATGGTATGTGAAGATGGCGCGCGGTTTGAATCAGACGTAATATAACTGTTCGTTTCGCGTTTTCCCCTCTTCCCCAGCTATCTGTTGA